TCACTTTATTTTGCTAAATTGTCCACATTAAACACAAGAAACAACAAAAGGAAGAAAAGAAAAAAAAAAACAATAGACAAACCCACAGTTTACCAAAAAAGGAATAGGCCGAAGCAAAGCTTATTCTTGCCTACCCTATTTTTTTTTACCTTACAACCAGGATTTATTCAAATTCAGATTACATAGTGCATAGTACATGTATAGATCTACATAAGAACGTAAGATTTGATCATTTTACATTTGAAAGCTCTTTTGAAGTTCACCAAGAAAGGACGTAACTTAAATTCATCATCCAATTCATTCCACAGTTTCACACCAATAACTGAAACACATCTAGACTTTATCTGACCTTCTGCCTGAGAGGAAACGTCTGGGAAGCCATTACGCCGACTTTTTTCTTTCTTTCCCCCTAACCGACAAGACGAGGAACGCTTTACTGGCGGACACCGAGGCGCAAACCCAGTCCCAACCTCTGAACTACTTCTGATGACTTTGCCGAGAGGACTTACAGGCCGTCACGTAATTCCGTTTGTAAGGATGAAGTGTTTGAGAGGGGCTCTTTGGGGAGAGGTGCGTTGGTCTGTGTTGGTCCTTCTGGAGCAGATAAAGGCAGACTGCAGGCCTGCGACAAGCGTCCCGTTAAAGACGCTCAGCCCCAGACACAACAACAACAGGCTTATTCGCAACACTTAGAAATTAGCAGGTCCCCGGCGGGTTGAGGTTTAGCGAGAGAGAGAGAGAAAACATCTAAGGTTCCTGCCAGTTCCTCGGCAGAAGGCGTCTGTAGTTTCCCTTCCAGTGGTCAGGCACTTTGATTGGGTGACGTGTGAGGGGGACAAGCTGCCATCAGCAATTTTAGTCAGCGCGAGGACAAGGAGGCGGACAGAGGAGAGGTCCTCAGACCGGGGGGGGGGGACCGGGATAATCAAACACTCCTGTGACCCGAGCGTCTCTATCACGGTCCGGAGAGGAAAACAAAGTCTTCTTATCATACACAGACACGCACACTCAAAAGGGGGGAAAAGAGATTTCTGTATTTTTCTAAGAACGGGGTTTCTTTTATCTGTCCACTGAGCTGAGGATCTTAACATGCCTGCGTTCTGGAGAAGCCAGTCCTTCCGCAGAAGCCTGACTCCAGCCCCGCAGATCAAAATAGAAAATAATTATGTCCCTTCTCTGGGGATGACACCGTGGCACTTTTCTGTCTTAATCTGCTGCTCTTCCTGACGGAGTGTCTGCCAAATGGGCCCTTTTTCATTTTATGTGTATTCACTGGGGCAGACGGCTGAGGGGCCACCAGGAATTAGACCACGGTATTAAGAATAAGACACAATGCAAAAACTGCTCAGACTCTGGGTTTGATAGAGGCTGTTTTGTGGCCGTTCAGAAGTATAATCTTATATGTAGCTCTTTAAAACATCCTAAGGGATATTTGATCTAACTAGTAAAAAAAACTCAAGTATCCTTGTTCAACTGGCATACTGGCTCATCTGATCTTGGTGTCATTAAAAAGAGATTTCAGACATGTCCTTTAATTCTGTTTGTTAACTCCATAAGTCTGATGGTTGAACGAAACAATGTTTTGGGAAACCAACTGAATTCATGGTCAAAAATAGTATTGTGTTTAGTTGTGACAATTCACCGAGACAGGAATCACATTTGGTTTATGTATATCTGACATTTGTCTTATTCATAACTAAGAAAAACTGTTTATGGACTCTTTAGAAATCTTAAGGGGCCAGAATCAGAGTGTGATATTGGTGTCGGATCACAAAGAAAAAACAACAAAAAACAGACAATACCTCCAAAACTAGCCTTCCATATTTGCTTACAACCCACAAATCCAATCAAGGTTAAAATGCTTATTGCTGCTGAGTAGAGGGGGGGGGGGGGTTGACTGGTCCATGCAGGGCAGCTGGAATATTGAATTCCCCTTCATCTGTCTCAATATTACAGTGGACAGAACAAAAGGGAGCTACATGGTGGGAATGTGGGAGATTCCCTGTGTTTTTCTGCAGACTGCCAGAGCCAAAGTGAGAATGATAGTGTGGGCCTTTCTGTCTGCGCCGGGCCTTACATGATGAGTTCTGTCAGGGCCGGGCCTCCCTGCTTTCTTCTCCGGCTGCCCCCCCTGTCCGGCCTGATTAAGTGTTAAATCCGCCCGTGTGTCGGGATGGATGTGGAAAGAATGTGGATTGAAGGGAACCGAGCGGGGCCGCGGAGACCCGGGGAGAGCAGGCTGGAGATAGCACCCCATTAGAGTGATAAAAGAGGCGGAGGGAGGGGGGGGGGGGCAGCCGACAGGACCAACATGCAGGCCCTGCCCGTGATGAATGCCAGGTGGTACCAGTCAAGCAAGATAAAGGAAATTGTTTCTTTTTTTATTTCACAAAAAAATAACCTTGTTTCCATAAAATGCCCACCGAAACCTTTTCTGATAAGTCTTCATCTAAACTCAGGTGTGGGACCAGGTAGATCCTATGGTTCCTATGTTCCTTCCAGGGTCTTTTTCTCTGTTTGCTCGACTTTAACATTCCCATCTGAGCCAGACCAAGATACCCTGGAAGTCTAGAATTCCAAGAGCTCGACCGTGTGTGGAGTTTGTGCTTTTGGGAAATATGTCTGGTACTGACCCCTTTTGTGAGAATTCAGTCCTTGATTCAAATGTGGATTCTAGACTTTTAGATGACTTTACAAATGTAATTTATTCCTCGATGTGTTTTAGGCATTCGCACATTAAAGCTGTGAGCAGCTATCCCTGCACAGGCTTTCTGACAAATGGCCCGGGGAGTGGGAGGAACGGGGGGGTTAACAGGGGACTGGCAGCTCAATTCTTTTCTCCTTGGCAGGTTAATCTGGTGTCTAAACACGAGCAGCTGTGCAAGATATTGCTAACATAAAACCAAATTAAATCATTAACCACCTGTAAAAAAAAAAAAAAAAGGGGAAAACTCCTTTGAACTTCTTTGATCAATACAGCACTGTAATGGTTTTACTATTAAACGCATTGGTCACTGCTAAATAACCTCCCGATGCTCGATATAGTATACCATGAAAGGTTATTTAAAATCTCACTTCCGACATTCCGTTTTTCAGTTTTCCTTTCGGGGGACGCGATTAGGACCATGACCATGTGGTTTGACCACAGAGAGGGATGTCAACAGCTCCCACAAAGCTTATTTCTCCTGCTTTAACAGGCCCAGGGCCTCCGTGCACAGCTCTGATTAGATGTGACTTATATTCTTTGCCTCAATAAATAGTAGAGCTCAATGTGAGCATTCATGGGCTCTGTTTACTGAACTATAGCTGCATCTCCTTTATGGACCGGAGCCCGTGGTCTTTTCCCTGTAATGTAAGAGGGAGCACGTTTAAACTCATTTCAGAGCTGCACAAACAGATGTCCAAACCGTGAATATTTTCTACTTTAAAAGCCTGAGAAGCGCTAAACCGATTACATCTTTTAAATAAAGCGTAAAGCAAATTCATTTTTACAGAATTTTTGGAGGAATCGGGTGTGATTTTTGAAGGAAAATATAATATATGTATTTGGTTTGCATTTTGTTCTTAGCTCTTTATATTCCAAACCATAAAATTATGCTTCCAAATTCCTCCTTTAGTATTTTTTTTAAGCTATATGCTTTCCATCATTCACTGGCATTAAAGGATAAGTTGGTTTTTGGTTTATTTCCTGAGCCTGAGGTATAGCCCTGAACCTCTTTTTTTCTTACAAAGAATAGACATGTTAATCTCCCATCGATGAGTTTAGGCACTTATCCAAGGCTTGGAACAAGCAGCAGGCCCCCAAAAATCCGGAGAGCTAAGCCTGAGCTAAACAAAACTATTTTTAAAAAGTTCACAGGTTTCCATACAAGCACATTTCAAACACCTCCCTTGTGGATAGTAAGAAGGACAGAAGCAAGGACGTATCAATAGGAAGGCGAGAAAAGAGGACTGAAAGGAGCCACAGAAACACATTAAAGGTTCGAAGTCTCTGGATTCATTTGGCTGGATCCCTTCCCCACCCCACGCATACTTGGAATGGCTCTGTCTGGCTGCTGCCACACTCCACACATCCTCACAACCCAGCCATTCATCCGAGGTACCTGTGCTTAGCGGGAGATAAGTAGCTTTCCACGAGAAACAAAGAGAAGATTAGCATTCCCTTACACTGTGTTGGAGGGCATGCAGGCTTTGCCCTCTAAGCGGGGAAAACCCGAAGGTAGTGGCGGCCTCACTTCTACACGCCAAAGATCAAAGCCGGCGTCTGATTAAGTCATTCTGCAAATCAACTACAGGACCAGGGCTCCAGTCATGAGGTAAAACGGGAACCATTTAATAACACGAATCACAGAACGGCACACTAAAAGAACCTCACTGAGGCCCAAGTCAAAAGATGGGATCTAATCTTCTCTACATTAGTTCTAGGTTAGCTGTTAAAGAGACCAATTTAGCACTGCTGACCATCTTCTGCTTCAAGGGTCAGCTCACCCAAAATGCCAGCGTCACAGAGTACTTAATTACTTCTGCTAGCATCTCAACTATTCAAATGTGTCCTCCATCCTAAATAGATGAAATAACAGGCTTAATTTCAACTGAAGAACGAAACATTCTGCTGATTTCGGAGTGTTTGTAAAGACATTTTACAGTAGCCGTCCTCTTTAAATCCATTGTGCACCATAACTACTCTTTTTTCAAGCAGGTGGCGGTTATTTAATTAAGGGACAGGCCAACCAAGACTGTTTAAAAATGTATCTGTTATTGACAAAAGTGAAATCCAACCGAAGGAGAGAGAAACTCCCCACACTAAGTCCCTACCTTCCCTTCCAGGGTTCCTGCTGACTGATTCCATGGACTAGGAGCGGGAAATGAGAAGCCTTCTACGTTTAAACACATTACATCAGTCCAACTCAGTTTGAGATTCATCATTAATCCGTGCATATTTCTCCTGAGTGGGCTCTGCTTCTTTAAGCTGCCGGGTGGAGCGGGCTTTTGTGAAATGGATTCTCAGTGACATGGAAAATGTCCCCGTCTAATCGTCTTTTGTTTAGCTCATTTAACTCGCATGGAAACAGGAGTGGGCCCTTAAGGCCAGCCAGGCAGATACCTTTTAATGGATGAGGTGGTCAGCTCTAAAAAGGGGAGGTGGGCTGAAAGACGGCAGTGTGAGGAGAGGACGGTGCAAGCTGGGGATGAAAGCACAGGGGCTAAAGGTCTGACCACTCCAAAGGCCCCTGCAGCCAAAAAGCAAAACCACCACAGAAAATGTTCCCAGTCAGCAACCCAGCATTATCTCTGGATTGTGCAAATGCCTACCGGCCCTCCTGATCCAGCTAGTCCATCCCTTTACCCCGGCCTAAAGCCCCCGGCCTAAAGCCCCCGGCCTAAAGCCGGTCCCTGGGACGGGAACAATGCTAATCATCCCACCAACAACCTGCTTTTTTCATACATCATACACAGTGGGGGAAATAAGTATTTGAGCCCTTGCTGATTTTGCAGGTTTTCCCACTTACAAAGAATGCTTATTTTTCCTCATCAGATGGTTATCAATTTTTTATAAATTCATACGATGTGATTTTCTGGAATTTTCTTTGGGATTGTGTCTTTCGATGTTAGAATGTAGATATGATTAAAGTTATAGATCGTTGCATTCTTTGTAAGTGGGCAAACCTGCAAAATCGGCAAGGGGTCAAATACTTATTTCCCCCACTGTACTTTTGGCCCAATCAGAAAATTAATTAACAATTAACTGAGTGAATTTACTGAATAATCCAACTAAATCTCCATTACATCATTCAGAAACTTGCCTGTTATCAGTGCTTCATCACACCTGTGAACATGGATTCAAATTCAGAGGTTAGGAACAGATTTTCAAACCGAGATCAATTCTCCTCAACTGAGCTTTCCTGAGAACACTTCCTCCTCTGTCCCGAAAGTGAGCGGTGGAGAAAAAATGTGCAGTTATGTAATAAGTTATTGATTTTTCCTCTTAAAGTGAGATTGAAGCACAGAGCCAGGGGTCTGCGGCCTCACTGACAACACCCCCCCCCCGCTGTTTCTTAAGGTGGTAAGAGCCTGAGCTGGGTCACATATCACTTTCACCCTCATGCCACGGGGACAAAGCACAGAACCCCCAAGACATTGTCTTCTGACATGGAGTTCGCCTGTCTGATCACATCCCTCTCAAACCGTCCGGCAATTACCCAAAAAGACATCTGGACCACAGTTTGGATAGCTAAAAAAGGGGCAAAAGCTTAGAATTGCGAGGGGGTTAGAAAGCCGGGATCGATAGAGATGTCTGAACCTGTTAGTGCAAGTGGAGATGAAAGCCGCAGCCCGGGGGGGGGGGGGGGGCCCCTTTGTCACCCGGGGGGGGGGGAGGACTAGAGGTGCCTCCGCTGGTGATCAGGGGTCAACTGCTGCCATCATCCATCTTCCTCCTGACAGAGTCCTGTCTCACGTTACTAAACACAACGGGCAGGGCTCCATTGTGTGTCCGCGCCCGTCTGCAGCCGTGTGTAAATGAAGTTAATATTCCCTGACCCCGGGCACGGCCGGACCTGGGCCGCGCGGTCACCTTGGAAATAACGCTATCCGACGGAGAGTCGCAGGGGTCTGGAAGGTCAGATTCCAGGACCTCACCGATGAGACACGGCCACTGTTCTTCTGGCTGAATTGAAATAGCTTACAGCGATTTGCATCAGAATACAGACTCAGAATCATAACCCGGCCAGGCCGGACACACAGAAAAACCAGCAGACGGGACTTTAGCTGGACTCATTTGTATCAACGGTACTTTCACTGACTCACAAATCTTCTTATGTCCAGTAAAGGCAGACTGTTTTCTGAGTGGAGGATCCAAACACAGTCTGGAACACGCTGATGTAACAAAACCTGAGTGGTTTGCTGGTTAGAGATGTGGAATAGGAGTCTGCTGACTGTTTAAAGATCCTACATTTAAAGAAGGACTTGGAAATGAGCAGAATTAGGCGGCTCAGTAATTCACTGATGACAGGTGGAATATGTACATTGTGAGCTAAAAGTGGTGCAAAAAACAGATTTTAATTTGTCATTTGACTTTTTTTCTTTTACTTACTTTTTTTTAGGCTTAGAAACTAAGGAGGGGAAGTTTTTCCATCTGCTGATTTTTCTTTTTTGTCTTTTAATGGAGTAGCTGGGGCAACTGACCTACTTTGTGGGGATTCACAGTACTTACATTGTATATATTTGAAATAAATCTTTACCCTGGTGCTAGATAAGACCTTGTCGACACGTTTAAAAAAAACAACAAAGAAATAAACCATGTCCCAGAGCCTCTAACTAAATGTTTTAGTAAAATTTGGCATTTTCATTTAATTCGACGTGTTGACAGAATTCCACGGAATTGCTTTGGGCATCAGCTCGGGGATTTATATACCAGGAATACCTCATTTGCAACATACATGCTGGATGAGGTGCTGGACGTGGAAGAAAAATAAACACTTTTTATCCTCGTTTGCCAAACCACGATGTGAAACATTCTGCTGTCTTTTCCTCTGAGGAAGTAGCTGTGGTTTAGGCTGCTGATGAAACGTAATTAGAAGGAAAAGAGCTACATGTAAACGCAGTAATATAGTCAAGAGGGGAATATGTTCTTATTAGCATACATTTACCTGAAAATTTGAAATTGTTCATGCATGCAAACCTTATTCTTAAGTTGCAAAGTTACCCTTTTGTTCGCCCACATGAGGCAAAGGGCAGAGAAAACATGTTTTGGAGGGATCATAAATGTCCTGAGGAGTAGATATTTTACAGGTTAAGGAAGCACACACAACTTTCAGCGTAGGGTGTGCAACCACTGAATATTCTAACTTAATATTTTACTGTGTTTTTCTATTTAACAGAAATCCGTGCAATTGAATTGAACAGAAATATAGCATTTCTATATAAAAGTTCTATGTCATATATGAGGCATTATTTTAAGTTTTCCCTGCAAAATGTCACAACATAGAAAACATTCCGTTTTGTGTGACCTTTTGTTGATATTTCAATCTGTAAAACGGATAAAAAACACCAAATCCTCACATTTTTTAAGGGACTGAATGGCTGGCATTTCCTAAAGTCCTCGTCTCAATCTTCTGTTCTGCGGTTTTGTTTTCTCTGATTCTGACGTCTTGGAGCTTTTCCCTCCGTAATCAATTTTAGGACCCGGCCTCTCATATCGTCCCGGGGTCTGAATACTGCATCTGTGTGTCTGACTTCTACCTGCCAGGCCCAGACATCAAAGAGGAAAAGCCCTGGGCTGTGGCAGAAAGCTGCAATCCAAAGAATGCCTCCACTCACACAGTCAGAATGAGGTCCTATCCATCACAAATTATTTCAATCCTGAATGATTAAGGTCCATTTGGGTCTCCTGTGGATTCGGCACACACCTGTCATTTGCATAATTAAGCTCCGGAGGAGCTGTAAAAGACAGCCATTTGGATTATTAAATTCACACCTTATCAATCAGGGGAACATGAAGATCTATGAGGAGCCTCTGACTCTTGCTTTTCCTGGCCTCATTTCATATGCTAAACGCGGCAGGCCGGGCTCCCCGGGCCGCCTGGTGCTTTCCGTACAGGCTAACTGTGGTGGTCAGCCGGTGCTCAGCCCTCTCCCTCAGGGGGCCACCCTCATCAATCAGTCCACAACTAACTTCTGTCCGGCCCCTGACAGTCGAGATGGATGGAGCCAGCATCTACAGGATGTTGTTTCCTCTCATTAATTCTCTTGTTAGCATGCACCCCAATGCTGAAGAAGTTGTCTTATTTGAGGTGTTTTCCACCAGTCGGAGGCCCCTCCCCCGGTCAGGGCGAGGGGTCAACAGCTAATCATTTCTCAGGCACCGGTTATTTTGTTCCACAATGATGTGATGTGTCAAAAACTGGAAAACAAGCATTCTCGGGATGGGGCCAAACAAAGATGCTAGTGTCTCCTCACAAGAGCCTGACCGCCTCGGTGGCTCCACTTCCACCGGACAGGACCGGCCCATGAATGGACGCTATTTTCCCAACACGCACGTCTTTGCAAAAACGAAGCGCTCGCAGTCTGCGAGGACACTTCAACTGGCCTTTTTTTTTTCCCCACTCTCGCTGGGCTGAATGAGCACAGCGGGTGCAGGAGGAGAGTGACATTTACTGCCTCACAAAGAGTTAAAAACAGACAAGGGAGAGGGGAGGAGATGGGCAGAGGTGAAAGACAAGGGGTCCCTCTCTGCTGACGGTGATGAATGAGTGGATCACAACAAGCCTTGCGTGCACACGGGGGGTTTCTCACAGGGGCTGAGTGACAGCTCAATGCACGCGCTCCACCTGCAGCACCACCACCGCCAAGGACCAAAACCGCTCAGCTAAAGGAAGTCCTCCACTATCAGAATCTCACAAAATATATATTCATCATTTCCCAAAGTGTTTAGATCACATTATGCACCAAAACAGGACTATATTACCAACAAAAACCTGAACAGGCCAAAATCTCTCAGATTTATATGAAGTAAATGTCTCTAATCTGCTAAACAGCGTCTTCCGTCATCAGAACCAGGTAGGTTGAAAAGTAAAATGTCTCCGCTTTCAGTGTGTCACAATCTGGGTTTCTCCATCAAGCACTATTTGAAGCGCTCTAACATGTCTGTTGCTATTCACGAGTGCTAAGAAGTGGAACACGGAAAATGCTTTGGAGGTCTACAGTGTGCTCAACTCAGCCTTTGTGTGTCATCCCTCTCTGTGAAACCCAACTTTCCCCCTTTCTTTTCCTTTGGTCAGTCAGGATTATTTATAAAGCTGCCTCACTGTAACTAGTTCATTTCAGATTTCGGGACTCTTTAGTTTACCATAAACGATTAGCTACAATATCAGGCTTGTGACACTGGTCCAGGGCAGGGTTTGCCATTTTTTTTATGGTCACAGATGCTTGGGCTTATGACTGCATCGTAAGGAGTGATAGAAATACTTAGAATAGCTTTTAAATCGATCTGGAGTAAACTACTGCGTGAGCAATTTGGAGCCAGCGTAGCCTCTGGAAGAAGTGCTGATGGTGCATCATGATTCTCATTTTATTTAGATTAAATACCCTTTAAAACAAAAGCCACTTGTGCCTGAGTGGAGATAAACCTCCTAAAGGTGCAGAGACTCTGAGTGTGGACAAACTGCACCGCCTCCATATCAGAGGAACTTTTTTTTTTCCATTGACTCACAAACGGATTAAATTCTAACAACATGCGGCAGTCTTTGGATGGAAGAGCTTTGCAGTAAGACACAATAAGGAAAGTTGGCTACAGCTTCACACTGCTGCTCTCCCAGTGGAAATAAATGGTGAGTTTTTTTTTGTTTGTTTTTTGTGAACCAAAGGGCACGACTGGATCTTGTGCATATTAAAACGACGAGAACAATAAGATTAAGCTCCATGGGGCTGAATTAGTGATAGCCTGCTAACATTAGAGACACAACACAACTTGAGGCAGGCGGCGTTGCTCTAAATTACATGGCCTAATATATTTCATTAACACACCTCCCTCAGAGGGGTCCCTCATGGATGACAGCGTGGCATAAAAGCTTGTCTGCCAGGACGTTAATTTGTTCTTAGGCGCATTCCACTCACTTATTACTCTTGCTGTTCCTTAGAAGCTGGCGCTGCCCACTTTAAGAACAGATGAAAATCCTGCCTGAACGGACGAGGCTTAGCTTTTTTTATGCAAATGGATCACTGTCATTCAGGTCAGGTGGTTTTGTGAAAGCAATCCTTTTAGGATTTCAAAGAGAGATAGTGATGTTTAGCACCCGCGCGACAAAAAAGCACTATTCGCCGTTCTCCAACAAAGGAGCCTGCTCAGGAGCTGTTTGTTTTTCCGCTCTGTCACGGTCATTTGGCCGGACCGGGCTTCCTCCAGACCTGTGAACCCTGCTAGTGATTGTCTTGGCTCCCGGCCAGCCAGAGAGCCAGGAGTGTTTGAGCTAAACCCGAGTTATTATTTAATCCCAGTGTCAACAGGATCATGCTGATAGATCTAGAGTCTCCCAATCAATTAACACAGAATCCAATTATGACTTTGAGCACGTCTGGCCTCAATTATCTCTCCAACTTCACCGCTGTCAAATCAGCTGCATTTATCCTTTTTTCCAACCTTTTCATCATCGGTTCCTAAATTTGGATTCTAGTGCCTTGCATTATTAACCCGTTCGCACTCTGCATTCACTTCCTGCTTTTTTTCTTTTTCCTTTTCACTCTTTTGAGCTGTTGTACTCAAGATGATACTCAGATTATTATTTTCCCAACAAGCCACGGCTGTAGTAATATTGCCTGGATGCTATTGCGCTGAAGATATTTTTATTAAAACAAAAAAGGCACTCACGTTCGCAGGCGTCTCCTTTCTGATGAAATCCAGCTTTGCATATACATTTCCCAATGGGTACCAGCCACTCCCCCTCCGCGCTGCAGTGCATCTTGGGAGAGTTGTCGGCCTCCTCCTCGGCGTCGTTCACGCACACGCCCTCCACCTCCACCAGCGAGGAGAACTCCGAGCCGGTCACCGTGTCGGGGAACGTGGCCAGGTTCTCGATGATGGACCAGCACTTCTTGTAGTAGACTTTGACCGAGACCAGGGCGATGCAGGCCCCCACGTCCTGGAAGGCCAGGTAGAAGCCCCGGCGGGTCAGGGGCCCGATGATGCGGACCTCGGTGTTCAGCTTCATCTTCCTCTCCCCCAGGTCGCCCTGAGTGAAGCTTTCGTCCGCGGCTATCGTGTCAATCTTCACGTACTGATTCTCCCTCAAGCCCCTGCCCACCTCCGAATCTGTCTCCTGATAGTACAAGTTGAAGGTCTCTTTGCAGGTGCCCACCACGCCGGGCAGGCTGTTACAATCCCTCAAGGTGAACTTCAGCTCCACGAATATTCTCTGGGCATCGCCCTTCTCTATCCAGTTAGTCCGAAGCCAGTTGTTCTGGTTGGGCTCCATGACCTGGCACACTTGGTAGGTGCGAATGGGCGTGTAGTTCTCATCCAGGCCGCTGATCTCTTCCCACTGAAAGAGGACCACATGCACGTGTAAAGGGATGGATCCGTAAAGGAGGAACTCACACGTGACCACCGTTAAACCCAGATCCAGGCTGTATCATGTAATGCCGGTCAAACTTAAATTGTGACAAAAATACGTCTAATATAGTCATTTCACACATTGGCTGTAAAGGTCTTCAGAGACTGTGTTTTTAGAATGCAAACATTTTAAAAGACAGAAGTTGCTCTGCTTGTCAGCTACTGCTCGGGTTTTTCTTCAGAAGTGTGTGAGTGTTTCTCTCCGTCTCTGTGGACCGAATGCCTGTTCCCACTTTGGATTTTTTCATTTTGAGCAGACTTTGTGATACAGCGCTGGACCATGGGTTTTGCGTCCTATGAAGCAGAGACATTCCAGAGACTTACCCCATTGGGAGGATATGAGATCCACTCCAGATCTGTCTGCTGGGCCTTGGAGTCCAGCAGAATCACTGGTGACGGGAAACCAGAGGCAGGTGGTTAGATCCAAGGGGCCTATAGGCGCTAGCATCAGGCCACACACCTAATGCCTATCCACAGTCTCAATACCCCTGACCTATTTTTTTTAATGAGCAGCAGATAAAACAGAAACATACAACAAAGACATCTGCACACTGCAACTTTTTAGGAATTTATAAATACGTTAAAATACCAAAAAGACGTTGGGATGTGATGGGTATTGATTCACACAATATTCAAGCTCATTTTTGGATTAAATTATTACTCTGAAGTAGTTTGTCACAAGTTAAAATAATTCCCTGGTCTGGTTTACTTGAGGTCACGGCAGTCGACGCGCAAACAGCCGATGCACGCGCGTAAAATACCGTTTTTTTTTTCTGCTCCAAACACAGATATCATCAGCAACACTCGGCTTATGTTCGGTTTCTCTGCTTCACGGGAGATTTGTTGGTGCAGCCCGTTTTATTTTGGTCGATGCGCGAGACATCGCGTAAAAAACCGCCGCGCGGCCGCTTTCCAAAAAATCAAGTTGTTCTAATTGTAATTTCAGATCAGCACTCACATAAATCCTGAGAATGGAAAGCAGTGACCGGGACCCCTTCGGCTAATAAAGGGCACGCGTAGCGGAAACTAATGATTACCTGACTATTTTATGGAAGAGTGTCCGTGACTCCACGGATTTACGAGTCGGATCACTAAAATCAGCATCCGCAACACGTCCGAGCCTTATCCCGGTGTGCTTATGGGGATTTATTTAAAGAATTATTTTCATTTTATTTTATTCTATTTAGCGTTCAATAATTACTTGAACGTATCCTTAATCCTTTGATCAAACGTGTCGTTGTTAAGTGTGGCGTTAACGTTTAATAATCCTCTTTAATCTGATCTGTTATCACGGTGACTCTCCTCAGCCTGGGAGTCAAAGTAAATTTGATTTCCAATAGAATCGGATGTATTTTCCTTTTCTAACAAACAAGGCTAGAGAGAAGCGGTGTGAGCAGAGGCCAGTTTGGAGGAAATAACTCCGGATCTGCGCTCTGGCGGACGGCGCGCGCACTTCCAGCCGCCAGCTCGCGCACCGATCCCCCCTAAACCAGAGCCAGTTTGTGGACAAAAAGCAAGCTTGTCATGAGTACTAAGCTCTGTCGCGATATGAAATAAAGGCAGGCGCGCGAGCCTCTAGTCTCGTCTCCACCAGGTTTAACCGCCGTGCGTAAAAAAGCGTCCGCAAACGGAGCGCCACATCCGCGCACCCGCCCCGGCTCCATGTGGCACAAAAACTGCAGTTGGAGAGACAAGGAGCTACTGGACTGACTCCGGGTCATCCCGGAGCGCGTCCGCGTCCGCGCGCGCGACGGGATGACGGACTATAAAGTCCAAACTTTGGGAACTTACCTTCCTTCGCGTCCTGGGCTTCCGCGGTGTAAACATGGGAACACAAATGAAGGCAAACTGTAATCCAGAGGCGCGCGGTGGAGCGGGACAGCATGGTTGGGGCTTTGGGGGGGAGGGGGGGTATCAAACTGGACCGAAACTCGCTTTGCCACCGCCGCGCGCGCTTCCCATTGACGACAACACTCCGGTTCTATGTCCTATAACGTGCTGGTCCCCACTCAAATAGCGTCCGCTGCCGCGGGGAGGAGACTCGCGC